CACCCTGTTTACTGACTTGTGCTTCCTCCTGAAGGCAAGAAAACCATTTTGTTTGTCTGCCGTATTTTATTTATGTCTGGCAGATAGTTTGTAACTCATTGACAAACTTTGAATAAAACACTCTCTAGATACTGGACCAGAGAGGATAAACTTGTACAGACCAAGGATAAGAGCTCTGTAGTGGGGGTATGAATACTCTGGTTTGAATTTTGGTGGCAGTTTCAACAGGCAAGTCTGAACAGATGTATTTGGTGGAGAAAAAAAAAAAGGGGGGGACTCTTAGACACAGTGCTTCATTAAATGTGTTCTGCTGTGTTTCTAAAAATACTTAAAAGACAGAGAAAACAAAAGCTAAACAGGATCTGTGCTTAAAATATGCATCAGCTGTGGTGTGGTGTGCAGCAGAACTGAGGTGGTGTACTTAGGGGTGGCTTGCTGGTGTTGGGTTTGTGTGTAGTTTGGTCTGAAGGTCAGCAGACACACAGTCAGGAGGCTGGAACAATGAGAGGAAACAGAAGTGACTGAGTTTGCCGGCGAAGAGGCATGAGGAGCAGAAGGAGGAGTCCAAATTGAAGCCTCCAGCAGTGGTGGGGCAGCAGTGGAGGAGGGTGCTGCTGTGGAGTCAGATCAAAAGGGAGAGGTGGTTGTTTCCAGGAGACATGAAAGAAGTTGTTAGGGCAGCAGCCCGTGGTGTGCATTTTGAGGATGTTGGTATGAGTGTTATGTGCAGAGTGCTGATCTAAGACTGAAGGTGTGACAGCTTGAGCAGAGCAGGCTGGTCACTCACCTGCAAGGAGAGAGGAATGTGGGGCAGTATCAGGGAGCAGTCGTTTGGAGGGGTGATCAGGCCTGTTGATGTCTAAAGGAGGTGATAGAGGGTGTGGGGTTGGAGAATGTTCACTGAAGAAGATGAAGGTAGGGATACAGAGAGTGAACAACATACAGGGCACAGAATTTGGGTTAGTTTGGTTTTCTATGAAGGTTGTGTAGCAAGGATCAAAACTGTAGCTGGGTATTCTGGGACTTGCAGAGATGCAGTAGGTTGGTCAGCCATCCACATATAAAGCAAAGATACATGTTGGATGCAGAGGCAATGGTGGTGAGGAGAGAAATACCAGAAGGGGAGCTCCAGGGTGCAGAAGGAGTTGGGTAATTCTAGGAAGAAGATGTTTTGGAGCCTTTCCCTGTAGTCCTTTGGCTCCACTCCAGCTTTTGGTCAGTAATGTTTGAATGCCCTTCTCTGTGGGCAAGCAACAATGGCCAGTTCTCATTGTAACACATACCCACATCCTGCTGGTTAGGAAGTTTTAGCAGTGGAGTCAGGGTAACCATGAGAACAGGTACTGATCTCTTCACTCTTTGCAGTAGTGTTCTGAAAGCTGAGCTCAGAGGCAGAGGTTGGAGTAGGCTCTGCACATCAGAAGCTTTTTGAGGTAGTTACCTGCTTTGTGGATGTACACGGTTGTTGTGAAGGTGTGCCACAGCATTTTGGAGTGCAGGCACTGACTTTGTGGTGACAAGCCAGTGTTCAGCTGCTTTCCCCACAGTTGTCAGGTCAGTGGGCTGCTGCTTCACTTCCCTGACTCCTGTCCTCTCCAGCATGGCTCGTGTCAGGGAGCAGCAACAGCAGTGCCAGCCCTTCAGGGAGGACAAGTTGGGGGCCAGAGGTGGTGACAGCCACCCACCAGCAGTGCCCTCACGAACCAGAGTCCTGCTCTAGCTGACCAGTGCAGGCAGAACAAGATGCTGGTGGCTGACCAACAGTGCCAGTGAAGATGAGGTGAACTGGCTCCCAGGTCCACCTGCTGAGTCCAGCTGTTGGGAGATCCTTCCAGAGACAGGACTGGAGACAAGTTGCCTGCATCATGGGTTCAAGGTTCGTCCAGGAGACAGGCCTGAGGACAGGTCCACCTACAGTGTAACTCAGACAAGACAGTATGTCTGGACCTGAACAGAAATGAAGCTCCTAGACCACGGGCAGAAGGTGCATGGGTGGGGATCCAAGAAGGAGGTGGTTTGGGGCATATCCCCCCTGTTAGTGCTCTCAGGAACCAGACAGAATTTTCTTCTTCCACGCTGTGCTTTTCCCCATGAGGAGCCTTTGTGAGAGTGTCTACTTGACTCTTTTGCCCCCTCCCCTCTAATTTATCTCTTGTCATTTCCCATGGTGGCTCTTTCCCCACCCTTGTCTCTGGTGGCCCTCATAGTTCTGCAGTGCTCTGGGGTTGCTCTGTCCTCTTTCACAGCTTCCACTGCTACCTGTGTGGAAGTGGTTCCTACTGCTCCCCTTCACTTTGTCTGTTCTCTCTTACTCTTTTTGTCTTTGCAGAATTTCATAGAGGGAGAAATACCCAATGAATTGCCTCTTCTGCCCCTCGAGCCTGTCTGTAGCATCAGTGATCATATGAACCTCACAGTGTCCTTGTTAAACTTCCTTCTTTCTTCCTGATTGCTCATTATGCAGGCTATTTATAAATCATTCCAGGCCTTATGCTGGTGGTATACTGGAGTCTGCCTCCTTTTCCCCATCCCTTCTGGTAAAAGCCTTTGCAGAAACGCTGATCACCACTCACCTTGTCTGTTGGCTTTCCCTTTCTTGCTGTACTGCCCATTCTGTTCCAAATGCAGCTGCTTAAAATCTTCAACCTGCTGCTTGGACCAGAGTGCCCTCACATTTGATCTCTGATGACTTACAAACTGCACAGTGTCACTTGCAAGCTCTTGCTTCCTTCTACTACCACTTCTTTCTGGTCTTTCCCTCAGTACTGCCATTCTCCCTTCCCTCAACTCTCCTTCTTGGGAAAGGGCAGGTATAAATCCTTCCACATTTTGCCTGTCACAGAGCACAATCAATAAGGGCTTGCTGACTTGTCAGGATTGATTTTCATGTACCTGAAAGGTCACTTCACCCTGCTCCAGACTGAACGTGCCATAGATAACCTGAGACACCTTAGAATGATAGGGATGGATGTCATGTAAAAGGGAGTTGGGCAATAATGCTCTCCAAGCTGTTGCTATGTAGAGTTAGAGGAATTACTTCTTTTTTTTCTCTGATGACCTCTTCAGAGGCAGTCCCAAGCTGGGAGAGCACAGTGTCTTCAGCTCCATCTCATCTCAGTGTTTCTGTGCTTGCTGCTGTTGTCCCTAAGTTACCATTCCTCAAACCCTGAGTGGTGTTTGTGATCAGAGCTGTTGGATGGCAAGGCTGGGAAATTTGCTGTCACCAGCAACTCTTTGCCATCCCTTCTCCCCTTTCTTTTCTTTTCTTGTGTGGCAGGTACGTACACCTTGGGGAGAGGTCAGGGAGGAGCCCTTCCAAGATTTGCTTCCAAACTGCAGGGGATGAAGCTCATGTATCTAGTAGTGTCATTCAGTCCTGTTTGAGTTGAGAAAAGGAGCATTATTCCAAAATTACTCCATCATACTACTTATTTTTCTGTGCTCACAGAGACCCAGGCTGGAATTGCTCCCTGACTACATGGGGATAAATGTCTCTTGAGCCTCCCTCAGGCACTGGCCACACTAATTTAAAACTCTGCAGGATGGGGCCCTGTCCCCTCTCTGAAGGAGCCTTCACAAGTCTGTGCTGCTCTTGCCTGCTGATTTTCAGCACAGATTTTCATTGCATAGGTTCATTGCTGTCCTTTCACGTGGACCACAACAAGCACAACTCCATTTCCTTCCTTCACAGCCCTCTTTATGGTGTGCCTCCATACGCCTGACTTAGATCACTTGTTTCCTATGCCATGCAGTGAACCAGTTTTAAGTCTGGCCCAGATAAACAGTGGTCAGAATTGCTTATTGTGGGAGGGTCCAAGCACAGATTCCTAAAATGCCTGCCAGTGCAGGGGAAATGTTGATTTTATTTTTTTCTTTAAACTTTCCTAGAAGGCCCTCATGATACAACAGTTGGTTCCCATTGCTTTTTTTTGGCAGCCTAAGTAGAGAGCTCAGACTGAAGCCATTCCTCTTTGCCCCTCTATCCTGGCAGTGGCACGTGAGGAAAACCAGATCTTTGCCATTCTGAATCTGCAGCTTAGATAAATCATGGACTTGGGTGTTCTGGGCATCTGCTCTGGAACATTTTGTTAGTAGTAAATTCAGGCACAGACAAAATCCTGTGCTGCTTAGTTGCCACTTGTTAAATGAAGGGAAAGGGTAGGTGTGGGTAAGGGAGAAATAAATTTGGTAGGAGACAAATCCCCTTGCTTTCTAGCAAAGTCCTCAGGCTTTAGAGGGGCCGGGGGCAGCTGAATTGATCCCTTAATAGGTACCAATGAGAGCTGTGGCTATAGGTCTGACACCAGATGCACGACCAGCCTGTGGCTGGAGGTCTGGTTGCCTTCAAAAGAAAGAGTCACAAGTAGCACAGTTTATTTACACACAACGTACAGATTCTTTACAGCTGCCCTTGATAAATACACTAATCTGCAAACTAGCTATAGAGCTCTGAAAAGCAATTGCAGTTATTATAATAATGATCTCCCAGGGAAAAATGACTCGGTGTAGCTGAGCTGAGGCACAAATCTTACCAAAAGGCATCACTTCTGGGGAGGGGTGAGGAGAACAAAAACTGTCAGTCTGTACCTACAACTTGGTGCCAAATTCTCATCCACACAAACTGGGTCCAAAAAGGGATGATAGTTGTACCTTTTTGTTGTTGTTGTTGAGGTACAAAGTGTGGGTATGGGGCTGTGAGCAGACAATTGTTCCATGTAATTAGCACCAAACTTCCTTCTCTGCATATGTAGGAAGCAGAGGAGTGCCCTGAGGTAGGTGGGAGAACGAGGTAAGCAGCCTTCATTGCATTCCACATTTCCTTATCAGTGCCCCAAGGACACAGACCACTCAGTCTTCATTCTGCCTGTGTCTGCCCTGGCACCAGATGTTTCTCCTTTGTGATCATCACTTGTTTTGTGCTTCCTGGGTCTGACATTAGCAAGACCTAAAATGAGTCATTTTGTCTCATTTCTTTTTCTTCTTTCTCTGCAGCAACTGTAATGGAGAGGCAGAAGAGGAAACAAGAAATAGAGAAAGGACTTCAGTTCATTCAGTAAGTGGACAGCGTCGTTGTTCCCTGTGGTTTTGGAGGCAGTTGTCTTTGTGTGGGAAGGAGATACTGGTCCTGAGGATTTCACTATGATTCTTCAGGGTGTTCTTTGTTCTGTCAGCTCTGTAAACTTGAATTCTGTCATTTTAATTTCCTTGGGCTCTGCCCTCCACTGCAGTTCCAGGATGATCTTTATTGTCAGCATAATGCTGATAGTACCTGGACCTTCTACTTCATCTTCAGTGTGAGGATCTCAAAGTGCTCTCTGAACAAGATTATTCCACCTTTTTTAGGAAGGGGTGTAGCTTCTATTTTGTAGGTGGAAAAAGCAAGGTAAATCACTTGCCAGGTACCTCTGTGGTGCCTATAGGAGAAGCAGATGACCTGACCTCTTATGATTGCAAACCTGGTAGGTGCCTCAGGTCACTCTTCTGTGAATATCACGTGGCTTTCTAGAGCTTGAAGTGGGCCAAGTACATCCTTATAAAGAGTAAGAGTGTTTTTTCCCTCCAAGGTTTGAGTTAGCAAAGACTTCAGAGTTCTGTCTGGGTTCCAGAGTGAGTGAGGAGGTAGCAAGATTGTAATCAGGTTGGTTGTTTTTTTGTTTTATTTTAAGGTCTGCTTTGAGTCCTGCAGTTATGTCTGAAATCTATGTATCTACAATAGGAAGAAAAAAGCCAAATCTTCCATGTTCTATATTTATATCCTGTGGCATTGCAGTGTCATTTTCACCCCAGTCTGAGACTAAGTGGAGCTGATGAGTTTCAGAGAGGCACTTGTGGGCTTTATTTTGGTAACATTTATAAAAACGTGCAAGATTCTTGAAAAGAAAATAACTTAGAAATACAGCATGCTGCTCGTTCTCCTGGAGTGTCCCTTGAACTCTGAACCAGGGGCAGTGTCATTTGTTGGCTTGTTTTCATGTCAAGGAGGGGTGCTCTGATTTTACAAGCAGAATGAATGTTTCTTACAGAGCCATGGCATTTCCTGTAGTTCATTTTAAAGAGCAGGTGATGATAGATTGGGTGAAATCTAAACCATGTTTATTCTCTGACCAGTAAGATCATGTGTATTATGACAAAGGCTGTGAAAAGTGCTCAGGATTTCTCCAGAGCCTGTTGCTTCCTCCTTAAGAGGAAAAATACGTACATGTGGACCAAGCCTGCATGACTTGGGTGGTCCAGTTTGAAGAGTGGAACCTTTCTCTGAAGTGTTGGTGCTGTTGTGGGGTAGGTGTTGTGCACACAAGCACTGCCAGCTTTGTGGCACAGTCTCTGCCAGGACAGCTGGAGTTGAATGACCCCCTGAACCTGTGTCTTCTCCCTTTCTTTTGTGGTGGAGGCCTAAAGGCATGTGGCTAACAGGAAGGATTGCATTTCTCACTGTCCATCTTAGGGCTTGCAGTGAATTTTGAGGAAGTCTTTGCCAATCTGATGCCTCTCATTAGAGCAAGATGTACTTAAAATAAATTTGTGTTCTCCAGGACAAAATCTCATGGAACTTTTTCAAAGATGGGGGGTTTTCAGGTGGCTGTCTGGAGGTATGTTATAGAGGGTTGTGTATGTGCAGAAAATCACTGAGAATAAGAGCCCTCTGGTCTCAAATCCCTTTGGGACCTGACTGTCCCTTGACACCACTGTGGCTATCAGTGAGTGTAATGCTCCCTAATTGTGTTCTCCTTGCCCTGACTACCTTTGAAGTGATAAAATGTTCAGTAACTCACTGAGATGATCAACGCAGAACCAGAGAGATGATTTATTTCTTCATTAGACAAAAGGCCTTGTTTGCATGGATGCCTGTTTCAGGAGCATTTTCTCTTCTGTTTTTTCAGGTCCACATTACCTCTAAGCCAAGAAGATTATGAGGTAATGAAGCATTTCTTTTCTGAAGTTGGGAGCTCCCTGGTTAGCAGGATTTGTTCTGTTGCACAGCTCTTAGTTTACATACCAAACGTGGAGAGCGTGGGATGGTCTGTCACAATTTGTCTGTAACTTAAAGTTTTAAGGTTCTGACAGTGACAGCTTTCAGTGAAAGGAGAAGGTGCTTGAGTGTTCAAGAAGAAAGGAGATATGACTGGATGATTCTCCTGATCTTTTCCAGGAGGGTGGGGAGGCAGGAGAATCTTACTGGGCAGGAAGTTTGCTAAAGCATGTGCAAAGGAAATTGTGAAACCTCTCTTGTCTCTGAATATCCACGTCATTCTTTTTGCTGTCTCACTACTCCCCAGGCCTTTTTGCAGAAGCTGGTGAGAAACCTGTTTGCAGAAGGCAATGATTTATTTCGAGAGAAGGATTTCAAGCTCTCACTGGTACAGTATGTAGAAGGTCTGAACGTGGCGGATTACGCGGCCTCCGACGAGGTGACCATCCCAAAGGAACTCCTCTGCAAGCTGCATGTCAACCGAGCTGCCTGCTACTTTGCCATGGTGAGGACCTCCCCAGCTCATCCCCAGGGCACAGGGAGGAGGGGAGGACATCAGGGTTGCAGTGCTGTGCAATTAGAAAAGATCTCAAGAGGGGTTTCAGGTGTTTTAGGCTGCTCCCTGTTCCAACGCTGGAGGAGACAGACACAGAAAACTCTGATATCTCCCCACTGTTGCACTGTGCCTGGCAAGACCAGAGGAGGGATGTGAGGGAGAGTGGGGTCAGGCCTAAGGAGCTGACAGTGCAGCTCTGTCCACATTGGTGAGGAGTTAGTACAGTCCAGTACCTTCAAGTACTGACTGTTTCTTTGGAATGCTGTTTGAGTATTGCTCTGGAGGCTCCTGTCTCCTCAGGTGAGGCACTGGAAGACAGTGAGAAGGCTTTGGGTCTTGACAGAACCTTCAGCACACACATGGAAAAGGATTCTGAAATACTTGGGCTCTAAAAGGCTGTGTGCTTCCATTTTCTTAAGGAATCTAACAGCTTTCCTTTATGGCAGAACCCCAGAGCAGGTCTACCCTGTTCATAATGAGGCTGTTGGGTGAAAAAAAATTAGCAAGCAGTCACACAAAGGCTGTCAGATGTGACATGCCCAAGATAAGGTTGCTCAAAACACCCTCAATTCTGGCATTCACTGACTTTGAAGCATTCTGAAGTTTGCAAGTCTTAACCAAACATTCTGTTACTGTAAGTTCTGGGGGTTTGTACACTGCTCTGTGTGTGAGGTGCCACGTGCGTTTCCAGCTACCTTTTATCTGCCTGTTCTGTGCTGGGCTAAAACATTTGCACTGCCACAGGAGCAGGGGTTAGTCTGCTGTGCCTCAGCTCACTCAGGGTGTTCTCTTCTGTGCAGGGATTGTATGAGAAGGCACTGGAGGACAGTGAGAAGGCTTTGAGCCTGGATGAAGACAACATCCGAGCCCTGTTCCGGAAAGCCCGCTCCTTGAATGAGCTTGGGAGACACAAAGAAGCCTATGAGTGCAATAGCCGGTGCCTGCTCTCCCTCCCACATGTAAGCTTCTGACACCCAGCTCATCCTGATTTCTGTGGCACACCACCTTCCTCCTCTATAACATGCCTAGCGTGAGGCCAGAGGGAGCCAGGCTGTTCCTGGGAACGTGCTGATGCCCAAAAATTCTGTCTTGACTCAAAGGTGTTTGACCTCCCGTGTGTTTCTTGAGTCCAAGTCACCCTCTTGGTTAGTCCAAGTCCAGAGACACTGGTTAGTGACAGCACATGTGGTGGCCTGGTTGTGAAGAGCAAGACTCTTCCTTAAAAGGTGAACTAAGGTCATGAGATTGTTGTAATGAGCTGGTTTTATGTGTCTGATGGGAATGACTGGGAGCATGGGATAAATAGGGACTTGAGCACTGGAAGGAAAACATGTATAGTTTTCTTGGTCTTGTTAAAAATGGCTCACATTTTACTTGTTGATTGCTAAGGCAAGCTGATAAAGGTTTTTATTTCTTGAGGTGTCCTTGTCATCACGTCATAGTTATTTTTATGTTCACAGGTGTGGAAGTTTTTGCATTCAGAGGAGACTGTTTGCATATACTAGGCCCTAGATGTCTTCCTGACAGTGCCTTTGTTGAGTGTCCTCTTAAGCCAAACACTGAACAGGAAACCAGACTGTAATTAGGTGGAATCCAGTGAGCATTGGTTGTCTTTGGGAAATGTAGTTCTGATTTATCACAGTAACTCTGACAAGAAACATGCATCTGCTTCTGACTAGTGTTAGAGAAGCAATTTCAGAAGGCCTCATTAGCAGTTATCTATTTCGTGTAGCTTGTGAATTCTACTTTCTTTGACTTGGCAGAACAGGGTGACCAAAACGCATCAATGGTATCATGCTAGGGGAGTTCCAAAGGACTTTTTTTTAAACAACCTGTTTAATAAGTAAAACTGTCTGATATATGTGTTCTTTTAAAGCTATATCTGTCTATATTTCATATTGCAGTTAAGCCACTTAATTTAATTTATTTTTAACCATATACTTACACATCTCACATTATTATCATTACAGTCATCATGGTCTACAAACACTTCATCAAACTTCTCTGTGGCAGGAAAGTTAAACCTTAAAAACTCCCTATCAAGGGATCTGCATTCCCTGTTCTAGACCGTTCAGTCTTGTGAATTAAGATACCCCATTGCCTTACTACCTGATTAACAGAAATCATAACCCTTCTCTGCATCAGAGGCAGAGAATCTGCCTTTCATGCTATCTATCATCTCAGTCTTGTTTCCATTACACCTCTGGAGCACCTTGGTACTTCCAGCTTGCATTGCTTTAACAGCTGAGAACTTTGTTGTGATCAAAGCAGAGCATGTGCTAAAATTTCTGGTGATCATGAGGTTTGACCAAGAAGAGGTCTCTGGAGGATGTGGGGACAGTGTCAGGAGAGGGTACATCCTGAGGGGGTGTCAGATGGGGAGAGGACAAGATAGACTCAGAGAAAATAGTGATTGAGCATGTAGGGGAGCAAGTACAGTCAAAAAGTGGCACTCTAGATTGAAGGGAAAAGCCACTGGTACTGTGGACTGGAAGAACCAGAGCCAGAGACTAGTGAGAGGGAGAGGATGAACCTGCAGGGAGAAGGAGGTTGGAAGGACCAGCATGGCAAGTACAGAGAAGAGAGCAAGCTTTGAGGCTGGAGATGAGGGAGGAGATGTTGGGACATTAAGGAAGGACATGGCAATAGGTCAGGCAGATATTTTTTCTTCTGTTAAGAAACTTAAAGTGCATCAGTATTTCTGCAAACGAGGAAGAGGAGACAGCAGAAGGAAAGACTTGCTGGTGATAAATAAGTGAAGAAGATTGTGGCAGGTTGTTCGTCCAGGCACAACTGGAAAGGATGGAGCAGGAGAATGGAGTGTGGCCTAGAACCTTGCCTGAAGCCCACGGTGGTGTGTGAGTGGCCATGGGCAGTGAGCAGGGAGGATGGGAAGTGCCATGCAGCAGAGAAAGCAGAAGGATCTGCCCCATTAAGCTGAGGCAGCTTAACCAGAGCTGGAGATGGTAAAAATGTCTTGTAGGTAGTAAGTTGGAAGATGAGACTTGGTTTCAGCTTGAAAAACAAACAAGCAGAACAAGCTAGTGAACACTGTTTGCATGTCACAGTTGATGATTAATTCTGTGGCTGGCAGAGAGGGGAGACATGCAGGCTGCTCCCCAGACATGGGGGGCCTTGTTGAAGCTGCACCACCCCCCAGCAGCCAGCCTGGGCAGCCCCCCTCCAGCTGTCTCGCCAGCAGGACTCACAAACTCTGCTTCTGGAGAGTGGGTGCTTTCTTGGAAGCAGATATTTGATTCTGATTTTTCTGCAGCACTGAAGAGTGTAGGGGAGAGCTGCTGCAACCTTGTTATCTCAGCAGGGCTGAAGGACAGGAGCTCTGAGGGCTGCCTGGATTCTTCTAGGGCTGCTCTGGCAACTGTCCATCTGCTGCTGTCTGCAGGGGAGGCTCCTTGGCACAGCCCAGCATGGCTAACTGCATTCCTGTTTACTTCACTGCCTGTGCCACAAAGGCAAAGCTAAAAGTGTCCTGCCAATGGTTTTGTCCCCAGGATGAAAGCGTCACACAGCTGGGACAGGAGCTTGCCCAGAAGCTGGGGCTGAAGGTTCGGAAAGCATACAAAAGACCTCAGGTATGGCTTCTTTTTTCTTAGAGGGTGTTCTTTGGCTCTCTCAGATTTACGTTTGCGGAAGTGGAAGGTGCTGCCCTGCAGTTTTAGAGACAGGTACAATCCTTCTGCAATGCCTCGAGCAGGCTGCTGAGTGTCATCCTCATCCTCACCCTCTGACTCGCTTCGCCTCGATCTGTTTCTAACCCTGGTGCTGCTCTGGATCTAATGCCAAGATGTTTCCTGAGGCCCCAGCTGTCAGGCAGAGACAGCCTGGTGTTGCAGGACAGGCCTCTGATGCACTGGAAGCCTGTGTTTTTTTGGAGGAGAGGGACGTGTGGCTTGATCCCAAAGTAGGTTTTGCATCAGAGACCTTTCCCTGCTGCAAGATGAGAAGGGTGGGATCCTTGGCTGCATTAAAGTCATGGCTGATTTTGTAGTGTGATGGATCATAAAAGGTTCCTGCCCCATATCTAGGCCCAAATCATCATTGTGATGGGGGAAAGGCCTGTGATCTGGGAGAACAGCAGGTCCCTGTGTGGTTAGATGCTGGGAAAGAAGGCAGCACAGAGCGAGTTGTGGGTCCAGGATCTGCAACCCGGCTCTGGATGAAAGTGCTTCTGCAACTGGGATAGTGCTGGTGTTTAAATGTATGCCCTGGGATGGAGCTAGAGGGCGTTAGGGCACTGCCAGCACTTTGGATCAAGCTGCCTTGGACATGTAAAATCCCAGGTTTTCAGGAGTAGGGATCATTAGGTTTATGTTTGGATTTGGCTCCTCGGCCCCACACGCAGGGGTGTGTTCAGCAGCCAGCACATAGGAGGGGCATCTTTGCAGGCTGTGGTGAAGTGTTTGTAGGGAACCTTTTGGGGTAAATTAGGCTATAGCATCTCATTCCTCTCCCTGAGCAATCTCACATGGCCTACACCCCAAAATGGTTCTGTCTTAAAGAACAGTAAGTTTTACACAGAAATACTTCTTGCAGCTGCTCGCTTTGGCCTTGACATCTTCTTGCTGCTGTCACATTATTCATCTGTGATGGGCTTAAACCACATGTATGTCAGAAAAGAACAGTTAAAAACTCCAAAATGCTTCTTATAATTTGAAATTCAGTGATGGGTATTTTGATAACACCTTGCTGTCTCTCGTGTTGACTTCCAGCTTTCATTCCAGTGCTGTAATACCTTATGGAAATGATAATTTCTTAATGAAAAGACACGAACTTTTGTTCTCCAGGGAACTTTTTTGCTTCCTGATTGTGTGTTGGGTGTTGGCTGGTTTACATTGAGATGTCCAGAACAAATATATGCCCCTTTTAGTGTTGATAAAACTGTACCCTTCTGTCACAGTGGTATGCCTTTTTGGGGTGGCTTTTATTTATGGGCAGTGCTTGGAAGGAAACCATATAATAACCCAGCTTTACCTAATTTAGAAGCATTCATGGGCTGTCTGTGTTCTAAGACCTCTCTCTTCCTTGCAGCAGGAGTTGGAAACATTCTCTCTACTCAGTAATGGCACGTCAATCAATTTGCCAAACCAGGTAGAGTTTGCACCCCGTGGTTGTTACTGTTCATGAGTTGTGCTACTAGGATGCTTCACAGTGTTATTTATGTGCAAATTTATAACTGTCTTTTAGGATTTAAATGTTTTCATTTGTGTTTTTTGATTTTAAAGGATATTACTAAGGAAATTAGTTCCTTTGAAAACACATCTGACAGCATTTTCCATGTCAGTAGTTAGAGCACTGGAGATGGTTCTTGTTCTTCCTGTGAACATTGGCTTTCTCTTGCATTTTAAATTAGTTTTCAGGTTTTTTAAGTAGTTAGGGCAATGCTAAGTTAAAAGTCAAGGCACAATTGCAGGAGAAGCACACAAAATTAAATCATTCTGTACTAAGCAAGTTAAATACACAGTTTATGTATTATTTTTATTGTACGGTCATTTGGGAGATGCAGCTTGGGTGGGGAGGGCACTGTGCAAATACTAAGCTAAAATATAAGAAAATGCTGATTTCCTTGTTCCACCACTGGGAAAGGAAAAAAAAAAAAACAAAACCAAAACAAAACAGAAAACAACCACTTGCTGTTTTTACAGGCTGTTTGGTACTTCACACTACTCCTGAAAGCAAACAAACTATAAAACCATAAAAATTGTCATTTTTTTACAGCAAGATGTACTAAGGAGTTAGTTTACCTCCCACTGTTCAGTGGCTTGCCTTCACATCTTTCTAGGAAAGCCAGCCAGCTTTCTTTAATAGGTGTGCCTAGTTTTCAATTTGAAGATCTTTCCTTTTTCAACAAATTAAAATAGTGTGAAAACTAGAAATTGCAAAAACTGTTGCAGCAGGTGCAGCATCTCAAGAGTAATGCTTTACTTGTGCCTTTTTAAGCTTAAAGTGGAGGAAGATACCTCTGTTTATATTTCTGTAAAATATGGGCTCAGTTTATTCCTTGCCTGGAGTTGCAAGTCAGCAGTTGTCTTGGCAAAAACCTTTTCCTGTTTGGAGTTTGCTGTTCAAAGTTTGTGGCTGTTAGACTCCAAAATATGTGAACTAAGAAAAGGAACGTTGTGTAAGATCAGGCTAATCAGATCTCACCCTACATGGTGCTCACTGACTGCTGGGTCCTGAGATTTGGGACACAGCATTCTCATCCAAAACCCTGTTCTGTGTACAGATTTGCTCACGTGGTTGGGTATTGTGCAGGGCTGGTATTCCTGGGCAGGGACAGGATTTGCCCACTGCTGGAGGTAAAAATGAATAAGCTCTTTGGATTAATGCTCTTTTAAAGTGTGGTGGTTCTGCTGCTTTTGCACTGAGTGAAAGAGGCCATAAAAGAAAAGGGCTGGGTGTATTTAGGAGTAGTGGAGAGTCTCATCTGTGAAGAATTACTCTTTTTAAAGACTCATTTCTGATTATATTTTTCTCTCTGCTTGCCTACATCTTTGCAGACCAGTTCCAATGGATTGGGTTCAATTGATGACATCGAAACAGGTAAAGACATCTCTAATCCCTGACTTTTTAGGACTTCAGTGATGTATTTGACTAGGCTGGCAGGCCTGAGAGGTTCATCATCTTAATTTGTCTCTCTTCTGTGTGCTCCTGGGATTGGAAACTAGGAGGAGGAAGAGGTGGTGAGAAGCAGGAGTGTTTTCCTGCAGGAAAGCTTTTTGTCCAGGCCCAGTGAGAGACACATCTGGGAATAAAAAGGGTCTTCTCTGATATACAGCTCTCTCCAGTTGTGATTTCTTAAACCTGGGCTTGGCAAAGCTCCTGAAACTCTTCTGCCAGCCAGAAGAGTCCAGGTAAAGTGAAGTTAAGGTTGTAGGCTGAGCACTGTGCTCTGAGCACATACAGTCCTCCAGGACATTGAGATGGAGGGAATGAAAACAAAGGGAGCTGGGAGGGACCCAGGGAGAGCTGTGTTCAGTGTTAGCCACCCAGGAGGAGCAGAAGGAGGGCTACAGGATTGTGTTTCTCCTGCTGGGAAACAAGTGACCTTAACTCTGCCCCTGCAGAAGGGCTTGCTGGTTGCTCTGCCCTTTGTGGTGTGCTGGAGCATTGGGCTTGTGCCTCTGTGTTCCTTTGAGAGGTAGCTCTGTGTGTGTGGGTAAATGTGGAGACTTGTCACTGCACCTAGCCAGTGCTCTTTTTATAGAGAGAAACTAATTCCATTATTCAGTGGAAAACAAGTTAGTTGCCTGGGACAGGCAGGTGTATGGCCAGAGAAGCTACCAGGTGGGGGGCATGGCATCAGACATTTGGTTCAGGGGGGCAAATGGACAAGACCCTCACCGAGCTTATAGTAGTACATGGGGCTTAGTGTGATGGCAGTGGCAGAAATCAGAGAGAGGCAGGATTGGTAGGAAGGGTGCCCCGGACCAGAGACTTTGGGGAATTGGTGATTGGAAATCTGCTTATCATAGAAGGCTGGTTTATGTTTTTAAGGTGGAGCCAACTGCAGGTGAGTACAGGAGGTGCATGAGCTTTCTGGAAGGAGAGGATGTGATGTGGGAGTGGGGGCTGGTGAGAGAGGTCAGCAGATGGGGTGTCGTGAGGAAAGCAGGAGTGGGAAGGGAGCAGTAGGGGAAAAATTTGGACAGAGGTGAATGTGAGGAAGTGGCTGAAGGAATGACAGGGTTTGGGTGATTGGGGGGGGGAGCAGACATCTCCCCTCTGCCCCTTGCAAGTCATGGAACCTGTTGGTCCCTGCTCTTCTTGCCCTTCACGTGCATGGAGCTGTTGGGGGGCCCGTATCATTCTCTGCCTTTTGGTCCTGCATTCAGCTTTTCTGAATCTTGGGCCTCTTAGGGTGTGTGAGGGCTTCTTTCCTCTGCTTCCCAGCCTAAGTGGGAACTGGAGGGCCTCATTCATTCCACAGAGAGGGTCTGAACTTGTGGATCCTTTGGGGTGCTGTCCTTGTGCACGCTCCTGCTCCCCCCTGTCTGTGTCCACGGGCCCTTGCAGTGGGTCCTGAACCTCTTGTTGGCCCCTGGAGGGACCTTGACAGTACTGCAGTTCTAAACATCTGAAAAACAGGAAGGCACAAGCTGACCCTCTACTGAGGGAAGTCTGGCTGAGCTACCTCCTCAGCTGGGATCTGTGAGCTGCTGTGTGTCCTCTCAGCTGTTTTGTTCAGGACTTGGAGGTTTGCAGGAATTGCTGATTTGCTGAGCTCCCTAAGAGAGGCACCAACAGAGTCCTTGGTGCTGTAGAGAGGACAGCAACGTGGCTTGCTCACCCAGTCCCAGGTAGGAGGGGATGGCTGAGGTCTCATGGGGGCTGAGTGAGCAGAGGCAGGATACAGCATTTCTCACAGCATCAAGATTTGTGTCTCTGTAGCTTGTTTAGTCCCTTTCTTGTTCTTTACCAGTCTTTCTAATAAAAGCTATTGTCTCTTCTTCCAAACTTTGCCTTGCTTAGGCCATCGTAGGCACAGTGCAGCCACTGCTATGTGGATGGAGAAGGTAGCAGCTTTGTCTTACTTCTTCTCTTTTATTCCAGGACATCTGCACAGGGGCAGAATTAAGGTAGTTTGGGTGCTTGGTTTGAGAGCTGCCAACGGAATGCTGTTATTTTCCAAACTTCTAACACTTGAACAACTCTTTTTTTTCTTTTTAACCTTTAATGTTTGGGAGAATAAAATGCTCTTCTGTGAAGAATATGTGCTTGTAACCTTAGCTTCACTTAACAGAGGTTTATATTGCATGGTGGGAACCTCCTGCTGTTCCAGGAATGTTCTGGAGAGGCAAGGAAGCCTTAGGCACCATCTCTGCCTTTCTACCCCAACCGTGGCTCTCTGAATTTCCCAAGGGGATGTTTGCTGCTAAGGTGTTGAGGGGGAATTTGGGCAGCAACCTTTGACCTGTGGAGATCAGGAATCACTCAAGAGCAGGGAATTTACATGGGGAATTTAGTGAGTGTGATGGGGTTTTTTTGGGGGGACACGTTGTTAGCACAACCTGATCAGGACACTTGATCTCTGACTCTCTTCCCAGCAGGCCCTTGTGGTTTTTATCTTCTGCCTTTTAGGATGGCTGAGGTTTTAGAGGCAATGTGTGAGTAAGCAAGCTGTCATCTGGAATATCAGAACTCCAAGGAGCAGAGAAGGCAGTGATCTCTGCAAATGCATTAGTGAGGCACATGAAAGAAAAACTGGATTATGTGCCCCTGGCCTTTAGTCCTGGCCACAGCAAATTCAGCCACTGCTCAGCCCCAGGTTTTGTGATGTTCATGATGACTGTATGTTCTCTGTCCAATCCTGACAGTCAGGGTGGGCACTGGCCCTAAGAGAATATTCCAGCTGCCATGAGCCATTGGAGACTGGGAACAAAAATGAAAGGGCAAGAATTCTTCAGACCAGAGCCCCTCCTCTCAGACAAGTGGCATCCTTGGCTTTTGTGACTTAATGGAGTCGTACAGTGTTGGTTCTGCTGGGCTGTGCTCTGCTTGTCCCCTACAAGAGGCTCTCCTGAGTGACAGGCTCTGTTTCTCCCCCATCCCAGACTGCTCTGTGGACCTGCAGTGCCTGCCAGCTCCAGTGGCCGCCTCCGTGCCCGTAAGCGAGGGGCTGGCCCCTTTGCCCTCTGACTCAGATGCAAAGGGCTTGCCCACCTCGCTCCCTGCTGCCAGCTTGCTCCCAGCTCCTGACTGTCCCCCCCTGCCAGTGTCTGAGAGCGTGGAGGACTTCACAGATGGGGACATCATCGGGGAAGAACTGGACTCCCTCCTGGACTCCCTCGCCGAAGGGTCGACATACTCTCTAGTAAGAGTGGGTGCTGGGTGGGTCCCCTGCTTCTTGTTCCAAATGGGTCTTTGGAGCATGTGGAGATGCATCTGCTGCAGCTCTTCCTGTCAGTCTTTCCTCCTAGCTCTTCCTCTGGCAAAACTCAGTTCATTTCTTCCTTGATTTCTGTCTCTGGCTTGTGAGTATCTAAAGAGGGCACCTCCAAGCCTGCATGGGGCTGCCCCTCAAAAGGTACCCAAAGCACCACCTCTCTGGCCTCTGGTGCCCATGGAGTTGAAGCAGGCCTGAGGGTAGAAATGGGTGTCCTGAAGCAGG